GAATATACTGTTATCGGCGCCTTTCCAAAATAGACTCGGAACTTTTGCACTGCTAACAGAACTGCAAGTGCCTCTCTCTCGGTCGCGGAATAGTTTCTTTGTGTTTGATTTAAAGTTCGGCTAAAAAATGCCACGGGCTGCTGATTTTGCGAAAGTACCGCTCCTACCGCATAATCCGAAGCATCCGCTGAAATTTCTAAATTTTCATCCTTTTCAGGAAATTTCAACACAGGGGCTTGCGTTAATGCTTGTTTTAATTTTTCGAAAGCACTATTGGCTTCAGGCCGTCCACGAGAATCTTGCCTTTTTCCTTTTTAATTTTAACAATGGCTCAGCGATAGCCGCAAAATCTTTTATAAAGGACCTATAATATGAACAAAGTCCTAGAAAAGAAGAGAGCTTCTTTGCCGTGTTTGGAGTCGGATACTTTTGTACAGCGATTATTTTTGATTCATCTGTCTCGATCCCTTTCTTGCGATATTTTGTAACCTAAATATTTTAATTCAGGGGCTGCAAATTTGCACTTTTCGACATTAACTTTTAGACCGGCCTCATTAATAATAAAAAAACACCTGTCTTAAATCCTGTATATGTTGGTCGAGATTATCACTAGTAATAATGATATCGTCTAAATAGATAAATGTGGACTTTCCAAGAACAGGTCTTAACACAATGTCCATGCATCGCTGAAATGTTGCTGGGGCGCCTGAAAGGCCAAACGGCATACGCAAAAATGCATAAGTGCCAGACTTGGTTATAAAAGCAGTCTTAGGCACGTCCTCAGGCCTGACCCCTATTTGAAAATAACCATTCGTTAAGTCTAAAGTCGTCATAAATTTGGTTGATTTTATGTTCCTTAAAATTTCTTCTATGATCGGTAACGGATATACCGGATATTTCGTTATGGAATTTAATTTACGGTAATCAATAGCGAATCTCCACCTTTTTGGATGCTCCAAAGGATAATCATTATTTTTCTTACATAAAAACCACCGGACTCGGACTAGCATAACTACTTGAGATAGGCGTTATGATCTTTTTACGTAGCATATCGGTAATATGCCATTCTATAATTTTTTCCTTATTCTTATCATACCGGTATGGTTTTTTGACGAACCGGCAATGCATCTCCGGTGTCAATACTATGGTTAGTAACCTGAGTAAATCCTGGAATATCACTAAATAAGGAAGCAAATTCACTTACCACTTGTCGGATTCTATCTTGCTCGTCATTAGGCAGGTGGTCAAGATTTAACCTTGGCGGTTCAACCTTTTCTACACGCACTGGTTTCATCGTCAGCTTAAGGGACGCTGCATTAAAATCCAGTGTAGCTTGTGCGTCTGAAAGAAAGTCTATTCCTAGGATTAAATTTGCTTGCAAATTCTTTACTATAAAAAACATCACCTTTACTTGTTCGTCCTTGATACGGATGTACAAAGGTACTTTACCTACGCACTTACATTGTTCTCCTTGCGCCGCTAATACTGTTGTATTATCCGCATTATATATGCGGTATTTGCGAAAATACTTTCTAAAAAAGACTTCTGCCACACAGGAACACTGCGCGCCGGTATCCAGGAGTGCGGTGGCCGGGATATTATTTACCAAGACTTCAATCTTCGGAAGAGTTAAAATTTTTCACCATTACTGTATTTAACTTGTAGGAAGAGGGGTTTTCGTGGCCTTCAGATTTCCGCACCCTCTCGTCAGTAGAAATCCGTTTTAGTTTAAATTATTTTCCTTTCGGTGCTTTCCTTCTTTCTCCACTGGCCTTGAGACTTTTTTCCTGGGTTGCTATTGAACTGTCGACGTTCGCCGGCTGTTTTTGAATGCTCGGGTTTCCTTGCCCACTGATTCGCTTTTTCTCCGTAGCCATGTGCTTGAGTTTGCTGTAGTCTTGGCGTACCAAATTGGTTTCGCTGTTGATATTGGCGTCTTCTTTCGACGTCCGCCGTTCTTCTACTTTCAAACTGCATTGCTAGCTCAAATAACTTTTCCAGTGTAGTCGGATTTCGTAATTCAATAAAGTCTTGCACTTGGGGTAGTAAACCTCGGCAAAATCACTTGAATTATTTTCAGGATCCGGACGGTTTCCATACAAGAGCTTGAAAACGTGAATTTTTCTTAAAATAAAGCTCGAGAGGTTTTCCATTCTTTGTTGATATATACTGAAAAGTTTCTGTTTCTAATTTCGCACGATCCCTTACAACAGGGAAGGCTTTTAGTAGGGCAGTCTTGAAATTTTTCGTAAGTATAGGTGGGACTTCCTGCTTGACCCAAGAGACTTCTGCCGATACATTTGAACCAGTTAAGCGCTTGGCCCCTCAAAGCGCTGGTAGCTAAGGTAACTTTTTGAAACTCGTGCACGGGGGGGTAGAGCATGAAGTGGTCATCCAATTTTTCCAAAAAACTGGTTACCTGTGAGTTTCCATTAAACGTTGCTTCTGGTTTCATCGAAGCGCGCATGGTCTGGACGATGTACCCAAAATCCTTCCAGAGCGGCAGCTGGCATTTCTGGATTCTGAGCCGTTTCTGCAGGCAGCACAGGTTCTTCTTGAAATTCGGCCATAGTTATTCTTCGTCGGGCGCCACTATCAGGTTCAATGTTTCTTCTAACCTTCTTCGGAAACATACAATGACCTGACTAGGAACAGAGAGCTTACTAAAGCTATGTTCACTAATTGTAGTAAGTAGACAGGATACAGACGAAGGGTATACAAGCCCCTTTATTTTTCTTTATATACAATGACTTCCGTACTTCGGAATACAATGACCCTCCACTCGGGGTCTAACGTAAAAGGTATAAAAATAAACTAAACTCTAATTTAACTTTAGAATAAGATTGGCCTTATAATAACAGGAAGCGTATGTAGCACAGAGACTGTGAACACTACAATACGTTTAATTTATCAAGAGGATTAAAACCTCTGGCCTGGAAGGCAAATAGCAACTGCGTAACTTCTAAGGTAAGCGGCCTGCTTCGAACTCACTGCTTCCTCTCTCCTGCTTGGCAAAAAGGCCACAACTTAAATACTTGGCGTTCGCCATTAAACGTTAAATTAAGTTATATAATTAGTTAATTTCACTAATGGAATGATTTCAAAGAATTTCACTAATGCACTAATTGTTTGATACTAAGATGTGCTTATAGTAAATTCATTGGTTTCATGCAAAAATTAAAATTTTTAATTAAAATATTGTTTCATTTGTATGAAATAAAATATAAACTATTGAATTATCATGGAAAATATATATATTACGAAGATAAGAAATGAACTGAAATGTTATATAAATTATGTATAAGTTGAATAGAAAAAATTTAAATCCCGTGAATAACAAGTGACTTCAATTCTTGCAATCAAAAATACTAAAATGTTCATAAATATGATATACAGGATGTTTCAAAGGACTGAATGTCACTTTAAGGATGGATCGAGCCCGACGGCTATGTGAAGAAATATCGGAACATCTTAAGCAATGATAATTGCTCCTTTTAGGAAGAAAGCTTACTAAATATGTTTTTTTACGAGAGGAATAAGCAAACTGGCCACGAAAAAAAAAATTTTAATGATGGAATTTAAAAACACTTGCTGCGAGACTCCGAATTTTAAAGTGACTATAAAACATATAAGAAACAAAATCCCAGATTTTAGAATTTCTATAAATAAAAACTTGAAATTCATGCTTCTTTTGGTATTAATCTAACGCAATAGGTATATTTTACAAACTTACATCCAAAAAACTGTAACTAACTTAATTGGCTTTAGAAGTACTCGTACACACCAATGTAAAAGTTTAATGAAGGTTATCTGGGGAAATTTTGATCGTATGAAATTGGAATATTTTTTATTTGACGAATTCAATAACGAATATTTTCTCAGTTGAATTATCTCTCTAAGGTTTCTATAAAAATATAAGTTCTGCATGTTTTCAATAGAAGGTCACATTTGACCAATATTATTTCAAACTGAAAGCTTTCTTTATTTGACGAATTTCTTATGCAATCCTTTTGACCAAAGTTATTTCAATCTGAAAGCTTTCTTTATTTGACTTATTTCTTTGTGCAATCCTTTTGAGTTATACTGTGTACGACGTTTTCTATGTTAAAATGAAATGAGTAAGGTTATTTTTTATTTGTCTCAAAAAAGTAGTGTGGATGATACTTAAATCAAAATACTAACACAGAAAAATATCGAAAGTGCAACCTAAAACTTGAAGCACCGATAAGCAGATTAAGAATGTGCGATTTAAAAAAAAACTTTCTGATAGACGTCAGTTAAAATTCTTTTAAGTGTTAATAAAATTCAAAAAAACTTTTTCTCAAATTTTTGAATCCCCCCCCCACCCTTGAAAAAATTTATTTTTATCAGTCTAGAATGCTTTTTCATCCACTGCAATAAGAACAGAACAGAAAAAAACTCGTAGTCTTAAAAAAGAGTTTACATGTCTTTTAAACCTATTAAATCATGTTAAAAGTTCTTTAATAGGATTTAGATAGTATCATGTTGTTTAATAGGTTGAAAGACATGTAAAAGAGTTTACATGTCTTTTAACCTATTGAAAATTCCTATTAAATCAGGTATTGAAAATAAGTTTTCTAGTTAGTTAAAGGATGGGTATCCGCAAAGTTAACATTTCCCAAGAAAAAGTCATTAGCCAGAAATTCACTTAATAAACAAAAATAGAGAAATAATTTTATTCTCTCATGCTTTTTTCTCTAGCAAATCCTTTCTCTTCTTTGTATACGTAGAAAAAGTCATTTTTAACCCTAGAACAAAGTGATCTCAAGTACAACCCACCGGTTTCATTCAAGCTTTGTGAACTAAACATCTTAAGTGATAAACATCTTAAGCGTAATTCATCATAGGTGTTTGAGGTTCAGGTTAAGCAAATAGTTTCTAGAACCATATACACCGGGATCTAAATAATTGAAAGACAGAAATGTAAAAATAAATGTAAAATTACTTAAGTTGCATTCATTCAAAAATACTACACTTACTTTGTAATGTTCCAGTGTTTCCAAAGCTCTTTGGTAGCCTTCTGCATTGTAGACACACAGAGCCCCCAATAACTCAAAAAATTGCTTTTTAACGGATACATTTGATGTGTTCAAAGCTGAAATATTACAGTAGAAATTAATCATATTATCTTATAAAAACGTCCATTTAAAATGATTTAATCAGTAAAATAGTTAACAAACCAACTTTTCATGCATAATTTAGTTTACCAGCTTTTTTATAAGAAATAACTCAAATTGCATTTTCCATACGGAATTGATAAAGAATTTTCAATTAAAAAACCGGAAAGTGGCTAATTTCAAATGAAGATTTGAAACACATTCTACGTGTAACAATTAGGAATATGGAAACCTTTTAGATTTAAAGTTATTTATAAAACCTGTAGTAGAAATACTAGAAATACTACTTTAAAACTGAAAACAGGACAGCGAAAGCAAATTTCTGTATTCAAATGCAATATATATATATATATACAGGGGGTTTCAGAAATTCGGTTACAAACTTTCAGGAAAGACAGAGTACTCCTAGACGATGAAAAATCACATAGCAATGCATGGTCGGAAATGCTTTCCTGGCACGGTAGTGACAACACAAAACACTAGAAAGCAAGGACACGAACAGGGTGACAAAATATGTTTATTATGCTTAGTATAGCAGAAAATAAAAGAAATAAGAACCAAATCGGACAATGATCATCATCAAAGAAGGCGTTTGAAATCACGACTCCGGAACGTGATGCAGGCTACACCTCCGGCGCATGGAAGATATGATGTTCTGGAAAATACCAGGCGTGTCTCGGACTTCCCCAGCAGCTGCCACGATGCGTGCAACAAGTTCCTGAGCACTGTTTCGTACACCAGAGTCTTGTTATACCCCCAAAGAAAGTAATCAATGGAAGCGAGGTGTAGCGATCTTGCTGGCCAATGCACCGGACCACGTATGCCGATAAGGATACGTTGCATTCAGATGGAGACGCAGATCAAGGCTGTTAATGTATGCAAACATTTAACATTCCCAACATTTTAGCTGCACTGAGCATAATAAACATGTTTTTCCACCCTGTTCGTGTCCATCCTTTCTTGTGTTTTGTATCATCACTACCACGCCAGGAAAGCGTTTCAGACCACGCATTACTATGTTATTTTTCATCGTTTAGGTGTACTCTATCTTTCCTGAAAGTTTGTAACCAAATTGCTGAAGCACCCTGTCTATGCATATCAGTGTGTGTATATCACATATCATGGTAATAATTTGAAATACAGAGCTGAAGAACATGAGCAGTATCGTGTGTCAAAGAGAAAAATTTAAAGTTCCTTGCGAGAAATGGAAAAAGACGTTGTTGCATTTATGACATTAAAGTTTTTCAATATTTTTTTCCAAAAAAGTTTATAAGGTATTTCTCCCGCTTTCTTTGCATGCCTTCGTGGTTTAGTGGTCAGCACACTCGGCGCGTATCAAGAAGTCCGTGGTTCGAGTCCCGGCGAAGGCATTGCTCATTTTTCATCTCTCCTGCTTTAGAACAAAAACCTAATGTCTCTACAAGTTATAAATTTTGTTTGTTTCGGCCAATAATATAAATGTGTTTAAAGTATAATTTATAGTTTAAATATTTTCTATTGTAAATACAGTGTCAAAGAAATAAATTCTTCTAACCAAAATATTAGAAAATGGTTTTGATAATCAGAATATAAAGCATTTTCGATCTTATTTTTAGCATTAATGCTTACAGTTCGACAGAATGTTAGCGGATTGCAGGTACAATAGAGAAATGAATAATTTAACAACTTGCTGATTCATAATGATGCGAAATAACTTTCCTAAATTTTCAATTTGTTCAATAATATATTCTGCAGATGTTTCAAAGAGAAGGAAATCCATGTTTTACTAAGACACTATATTTTTTGAATAAACAACAGTAGATGTACGTTGCTTTCAATCTGTGTTTCGACGTAAAGTCAGAAACCAGAGTTCCAGTCGTGGGTGGAAATGCTACGTGCGATCTCCTGATATCAAGAAATTTGTATCTTCAGTCTTCAAGGTTAGAATTTAAACTAATTGTCAGTGAATTTGAAATTGACCTTGATATAACTTTTCTCAGCCTATTACTTGCATTATGACGTATCTGCTTTACCAAAATTGTAACACTTTATTTTTCAGCGATTAAACTATGAGGATTTCTTAGACAAAAGAAAAGAAAAAAATATCTTTGACAAACTAGTACACATATTTTTAAGTTCCGTACTGTAAAAACTGAAGAATAAGTACAATATACGGAAAATAAAGTTCGAAATGAAACTTTATTTTCTTTCCAGAAAAATGAAAACGTTAGAACATACTTTTTAAGTAACTATCAAAGGAAATGCCATCAAATAGGGTAAAAATTAATTCTCTGTTTTCTTAAACTCGGCCCGCTCGGCCTAACAGTTAACTTAAACTTTACCGCTCGGCCCAACAGCGGCCGAGCGGTAAAGTCGCTGAACACTGGTATTTCGGTCCCAGGTTCTAATCCCGCGAACGGGCTGGCTGCATGGGCGCTTTCGTGGTTTTCCCCATGTGTAACGTGTATACGAGCCACTTTCCCTTAGAAAGTCCTCCACGAAGGCATCCTTCCTCTTAGGCAGATAGCCCTCGAGGCTTTGCCATAATTACACACACACCTAAACTGCTCTGTTATCATTTTATTTTTTATCCTTATTTATATATTTATCGTTTAAATATCAGTTTCTTGAGATATTTTAATGTAATAATATTTTGTTTGAATTCCTCCGATTTAAAAGGAAGTGAATGCTAATTTAAGCTTTATCAAATAATAAAGTCCATCAGATATTAAATGTATAAACGTATTTAATAAAACATTTATACTTCGGAAAAATCCTTAAGTTTAATAAATGTGTTTAAAGGAGACAAATGTTAATATAGTACATGAACTAATCCTGAGTTGTCTAATTATTTCAACATTCAACATTAACTATGTGCATATTTGCATTTAAACACAGCATAAATTCTGCATAGCGATACATTCGTCTGACCCAAAACTTTCGAGAAGGGACTGAAGGAAATGTTTTGATCTCACATTTAATGCAAAATAAATCAATTTTATTTTCAGCTGCAGTAGTGGGCAAAGTGAATAACCAGCTAGTTTGACCTTACTGTTATGTTTCCAAAAGTATAAATATTAGGTATTTTAATACATTACGAAAGGGTTAGATCTCCACGTAAAGTAAGTGCACTCATTTTAAATTGCTTAAAGCAAACTGAAAATTAGTAAATAAACTTGTAAACGAAATTAACAGTTTGTTTCATTTTAATTATCTTTCATGTTTATAATATTTAAATACAAGTTTTATTTTCTTGGCAATAGATATAAGTTTAATATATGATTTCGTTTAATTAAATTCAGAGTATTGGGCAACTCACAGACTATAACTGTATCTTGATAGTTTCACTATAACTGTATTTTGATAGTCTGTTACTGTATATTTGATAGTCTGTTACTGTATATTTGATAGTCTATATATAGTATAGGCTATTATTGTATCTTGATAGTCTTTTCACATACGCCTTTCAAGAGTTCGCAGAAAGAATAGCAAAATATATGTATTTATCTATTTTCCGTCATGCCCTCTTTACTAAATCATGAATATTTCAAGTTTTTTCACTTCTAGATTTTTTTTTTCAACTCGGAAGCAGTTATTTATTCAATTAAGCCAGTTTCCGGGATGTTAAATAAATCAACATTAATCACTGAGTATTCTGCTTTTGGAGCTTGATTTTGTCTGACAAGGTTTGCAGGAAATATTTTAGACAGATAAATTTTCATTAATGTTCCCTTATACTCTGTCAGACTGTTTCGTTTTCATTGCAAATCAGAAATGAAGCTTATAGAAAAATCACGTATTAAGCCAAGCTCTGATATGCTAACAACATTATACATCTTATACCTAAATTTAATTCATTCAAAGCTTTAATAATTTTAAGAATATTCTGACATGCGTTTAATATAAATGTTCTTCAAAATAATAACATTTTTTTAAAATACAACAATTTTATTAAATGGTAAAATTACTATATTTTTAGTCACATACATAATGAAGATTTAAATAAAAATTTGGTACAGTATGAGTTAAAATTGGATTTGAGATGATAATACTTTCAGGCCAAACAAAACGCATCTTCATTCAATTTCCAGAGGACAACATTATAATTAAAAAATAAGGGCTTTCATTACTCTTTCTCAACTTAATGTTATAGTGAGCTTTCACCACGGACACTCAATTTAAAATTTTGTGACAGCACAACGTAAAGAAAACGTAACATTCGTAATTATCTATAATATGCAGTTTGGAAAAACATATTACTCCAGTAACATAATAATGAGTTCAAAAGAATCGTAGTTGCAAATAAATGAGGAGGTAATGAAAATGCGCTAGAGAGAGCGGTTCAAAGAAATATGTCTTTACGAATGGGGCAGAGTTAAGAAAACATTTCAAATCACTGAGAGAGAGGGTTAGGTTATATAATTACGGCAAAGCCTCGAGGGCTATCTGCCTAAGGGAAGGATGCCTTCGTGGAGGACTTTCTAAGGGAAACTGGCTCGTATACACGTTACACATGGGGAAAACGACGAAAACACCCATGCAGCCAGCCCGTTGCGGGATTCGAACCTCGGACCGAACTACCAGTGTTCAACGACTTTACCGCTCGGCCGCTGGTGGGCCTGAGAGAGAGGGAATTACCAAATTGGAGAGCACTGTTGGAAATGAAAGCAGTGCTGGAAACGTTTTTATATATTTTAACTCCAATAGGAAATACAGAGACCCACATTTCCGGCTAGAATTAAGGTTTGACAATTCTATTTCAGGAAAATGGCTACAAATAGAATAGTTAAGATCATGCACATTTTACAGTGCTTTTTTAAATTTTCCCTGAATAAATTAATTAGCTTTCACTTTACAATAGTAGAAGATAATAATTTACCTCAAATCAATTACCCACAGTAAAGAGAATATTATTCTAAATTTAGAATCAAAATCGAATATTACAAAGCTCTTGGAGCTGGTCATACATATGCAAGAATTCGGTAGTCACTGATGATAT